CGCAAAAGATAATTTTCATGCATATAAAAAACAGTTTATATGAACAGATACAATGAGCTCTTCATAATGTCAACAGCTTATATATATATATATATATATATATATATATGCAATCATAGGCAACACATAAACATGCACATCAACTGCTGTTAAAAAAGCAAAGGAATATTCACATTTTCGACAACTTCTTCATCTGGCTCCAAAGTTATATATATATAAATATCATATGTAAAGAGTAACTGTTATTCATAACACTAATGTTTTAATATTGCAAAAATATTCATTCAGACATCTATAAAACACAAAATAATCGAGCAAAGAATATTCTTTTCGATAAATTCCTCTTCTAGGCTCTACAATTATATACGTATATGTTTATATACACAGAATATTTTAAATTAGTAGTTAATAACAATATTAGCGTTTTTTTAAATAATATCGATTTGTAAAGTAAGATCAATGCAATTACAGTTCATTAAAGATGCTTAAATTATAATAATAATAATAATAATAATAATAATAATAATAATAATAATAATAATAATAAAGATATAACAGCGAATAGAATATCAACTAAAATTAGGGAAATTTCACAAAAATTCCGGATTATTCAAACCTGGATGGCCAAGGTAATGATAATGACTGAACTAACTACTTTTGGATGCATAAATTAGGCTTATTAATATGGATCCCCACAGCCTCAGCAATATTTAGAAGTCGAACTCTTAAAGCGAAATTGAGATTCGTAAGTATGCGGTAAATGACCCTGAAAGCATGGTTAACGTTAATCTTGTGTTCTGTATCCACAAGATGCGCCAGAATAGCGCTGCGAATAGATTTTGTTTGTCCTTTGCTTAACCACTTTGCAGGGTGATGTTCGGAAATTCGACGAGAAACACGCCTAATTGTACGGCCTATGCAAGTAACTGGCTCACTCCACAGGAGCAGTTAAATTGGTAGATACACACACATGGAAGAGGCGAAATTAGGCAGTTTGTCTTTTATTCCCGAACGCAGAAGAGGAGTGGTTTTGAAGATACAGCGTAATTCGGCAGCAGCAGGGAATGCTCTTTTTTTACCGCATTTCTGAGGCGATGTTTTAGGTTTTTATACTGAATTTGGATTTCCCCGTTGATTGGTTGGACTAAAGTATTTGTCCTCTGTTGATATGTCAGCTTCTAGTGTGGACGTTTCAACAATGTCTGAGGATTTAACGTGAAGTCACTATTCAGCAAATTACTTCGTTGAGGCATTCTCACTAGCAACCGACATGTCAACATGCCAATCAAGGGGAAGAATCCAAATTGAATTAAAAGTATTAATATATATATGCAAAACTTGGGCACTGTGGTAGTAAGTAATTCCATATTAGTTTGTTTATTAGATGTATCACACAACTTCGAAACTTGAGTTTTATAGTTTTCTTTGTTCTCGCCTGTTTGTCGTCATAGGGGTAGTAGAATTTTCCAGATATCTGGGTGGACAGGTGTTGAATCGTTCCTATTACACGCACTTGCAGTTGATTCGATAAACAAAGCTTCTGTTATCAATCTCTCCCTCCACCCTGTGACATTAGATTTTAAAACTGACATCCTATCCCATCCTATTGTGTGATTGTGTGTAATTGCATGTGGTGAGTGCTATAGCTGAACTATTCTCTAGATTTCTTATCTTATATGGGTCAACCAATCTAGATTTTACTAGGTTTTTATGCTCCGCTAGTCTGATTGCACCTGTTCTACTACTTTGACCTACGTATTCGACCTGACGATCGTCTCAGGCAGGATATTAGATAAACTAAATTGTTTTGTTTGATTGGCTCCACTAGCACGATGCTTTAACCTACAAAGCTTGTTTTTTAAGTGAGTTTGAATGCCAGCCACTTTTATTCCTGCCTTGTTAAGAATTCTGCGTAAGGTTTCCGATATTAATGACGACATGCAAGTCAAATGTGCGCAAGACAACACTAACAATAAGGAATCTAAATCATCACTAGCAATTCCATACAAGGAAAGAGCCTCGGAAACCTTACGCAGAATTCTTAACAAGGCAGGAATAAAAGTGGCATTCAAACCCACTACAAACTCACTTAAAAACAAGCTTTGTCGATTAAAGGATCAATCCTGTGGAACCTTTAAAACAAAACAATTTAGTTTATCTAATACCCTGCCTGCGATGATTGTCAGGTCGAATACGTAGGTCAAAGTAGTAGAACAGGTGCAATCAGACTAGCCGAGCATAAAAATCTAGCAAAATCTAGATTGGTTGACCCGAATAAGATAAGAAATCTGGAGAATAGTTCAGCTATAGCGCTCACTACATGCAATTACACACAACCATACAATAGGATGATGGGATAAGATGACAGTTTTAAAATCTAATGTCACAGGGTGGAGGGAGAGATTGATAACAGAAGCTTTGTTTATCGAATCAACTGCAAGCACGTGTAATAGGAAAGATTCAACACCTGTCCACCCAGATATCTGGAAAATTCTACTACCCCTATGACGACAAATAGGAGAGAACAAAGAAAACTATAAAACTCAAGTTTCGAAGTCGTGTGATTATAATTGATGACATGATTATGAACAATAATAAATTTGGTTCGAAACGTCATCCAGTAAATAATACTGTTTCATCACTGTGTGATACATCTAATAAACAAACTAGTATGCAATGAATTGAAAGTAAATAATAACCAACACCCGTTGCACAAGAGGTGGTGACTCTCTTGACCCAAGTAGTCTAGTGAATAACGATTTTGGCGTTTGAATCGATGGCTGCTGGGTTCCAGCTTCAGTGGGAATACCATCAGTCATTCACTGAGGAATGCAGTGTATATCCAAATGACGAGTCCTTCAAGAAGGACGAAATGCGCATCATGGTGGATTCCACTGTTAGTCACCATCCACGAAATTGATTTGAATAATAATATCATCGAGTTGTTAAGATGAATAGAATTACAGTTCAAAAGTACCTTCAATTGATAATATACATCAAAATGTAACGCTGAACTGAAAACCAGATAAAATGAGGTAATAATTAGAGATAGTCAAAAAAGTGTTAGCATTGTAAAAGGGTCATAAGGCTTCAAGTGGACTCATATGACTTCACATTTTTGTAGAAGAAGAAGAGCTTGTAAGGTATAACTTAGATTAGTCAGAACAGGGTAAATACCTTTATCAAATGTATTGTTAACATTGAGTTTGTGCTCAGTACCTATAAGATGAGCTGAAAACAGAACTACGAATAAACCTTGTCTGTCACTTGCTTCACTACACAGGATGATGTTGAGAAATTTAATTAGCTCCACAGGATCACTTGTACTTGTAGAGGAGACGAAATTAGGTGTTCTTATTGTTCCCTTGGGTTCTGAGTGAGACATACAGTTTCAACAACACATCTCTAGTTTGTCCTACTCTCTGCAGTCTTCATTAGATGACCCTTTGATTGCCTATAGTTTCTTATCTCCTCCTTGCAGGATCTCCTCCATGTCACCTTCGGATACTCAAACAACTCATCGTTTCCAATTCGGGTTCCACTGGAGTAATAGCCTGGTGTGTGATGTCATTCGACAGTCTCCTCAGCTCTCACTTTCTTGAGCAAGATTTAGATGAAGTCTATCTGCTTTTTGGCGTATCCATCAGGCGAAATCCATGTTGCTTTGTGTATATCCTTGTGCTTGTTGACGCTGCCTCCAATCACCAAATCATTGAAAGCGCAGAAGTCTGCGAATAATTCTCCGTTCTCATTCATTTCACTGAGCGAGAGCCTCTCGACCCATGATGAATTCTCTTCCTGTATTATCTGCTCCCAGTTCAGCTAGGATTCATATCGCCCATGAGGATTTCAATGTCACCATTTGGAATGTTGTCCATTACTGTTTTTAGTTGTCTGTAAAAATCTCCCTTCTTCTCTTGTTCCGCGTTGTTTGTAGCATTGTGCGTAGCATTGGATAATTGTTACCTTCCTTCCTTTCGAGTTGAATCTTGCTGTCATAATCCTGCAGGAGCATATTGGTTCCCACTGCATTAGAACTATGGCTGCCACTGGTGACATCATGATAGCCTCTCACTGCCTCAGTGTGGTCGCAGTTGCCGTCTGGGGGACCGGATAGTTTACATCCATTCCATCTGCTCTTGCAGATTCCAAGCACTTCTATGCCGTATCTTCTTATTTCTCTGGCAACCTTCTCAGGTTCAAATATTGTGCGAACATTCCACGTCCCCAACCTTATTCTTGCTTTTATCGAAAGAAGACAAATCGGCTGGCTGACAAGCTTGCGAAGGCTTTCATCAACCCGCGTCATTCCGCTCCTATAATTCCAGTTTGTTGTTCATATTTTTCTTGTGGTTTCATGTTTCTGTAGCGCCTGGATTGATTTTCCGGGATAAGGTAGCTAGCCAAACGCCTAGACTTCCCTCCCTACTTGGAGTTAGGACCGCATAGAAAACTAGCGATTAAGTAAACTTAGTATTGTTGTGAAGAGACAGTGTACCTCTGTTGCAATGAATGCTTTTTTCTGGCTGGATTCTGTATGCCTTGCGTTGTATTGTATTGTATTTATGTGTTATCACTTACACATGCTTTTTTGAACTGTAATTCTATTGATCTTAGTAACTTGATACTATATATAATAAAACATCAGTGATGTCACTAACAATAGCTACTCAAACATTAGGTATATATACAACAGTACAGCCAGATAAGGATATTATTATTGTAAGAATATTCTTTGCAGAATCTCCACTTTTGCTTCTTCTAAACGTTTAAAACAAGGATTTTATTTAAACGGGAGAATATAAAATCAATATGCATGCATATACATAACAACACAACACGACATTCAAGAAGAATAACAACACTGAACAATCAGCACGACAGTTTCCCATAAGATCACGATCAAGACAACAGAGACGACAACAATTCTAAATGGGGATATACTTTGCCAAGGCGGTGAAAAAAACTGACCATACTGAAGGGAATGTTTGTTTTTCGTACTAATTTCCTGATGTTTTACGCTGGAGAGCCATTTCAATTATACGTTTCCATAAACTTAGAATGATTAAAGCCTAAAACAAGTAGTATTGTGAATGAATGCATATAAATCAAAATGGAAAAAAAATAATTAAAAAAGAGAAACACAGTAGTCATTTGTCTTCATGTTATGAGAATCTGAATACTATGGCAACCTGTTTACAATAAAAAAGGCGCCAGTTTAATAGTTTGGTCTATTGATTTTTAACTGTCAACTGGACCATTTCTTAAACACAAAGAAGAAAGACATTAAAAGGATCATGATCATGATGAACAATACAATCGACCATTTCCTCTAAATGATTCTTCCTATGCTAGTGATCCATCTTATGGGCTTATGGACTGTAACGTTTCTCCTAATGAATAAATGCATCCCAGAGAAAGAGATCGACCGTATTCTCCAGGTATAGACAGACATCTGTAAGATCGGAGAGGTGACAGACCTCCACCGATGAGACAGAACTATGATAATGGCAACTGGAATAGACGATGATCGGATCATAGAAACGCATCTGACAGGTTCGATCACCCACACGGACCACCACCTAGATGTTCTCCACGAGAACCTAGACCACAACATGAAGATTACTATCAAGATTCTCATCATCCACCTCCTCCTAATCATAGTCCTCCACAAAAACGGCTACACACTTCAGAGCTTGGTGGCCGATCCCCTGATTATATGAGAAAATACCCTCGCCAGGACCATTACCGGAATAAACCACCGAGGACTGGACATAATCGGTGGTAGTTAGAAATTATCAAATGCTTTTGAACAGTTTGAACATCAGAAATGTTGTATTGCCTTATTTACATTTTTACACCAGATATCTCGTTTGGAGGGGTTGGTTGTTACCTTGAGGACTTGTCCTTTGTTGATGCCTCGCGTGTCTTCATCGTGATGTTGGATGAACTCGAGAAGCTAGACCCACAATATGAAAATCCTAGCCCTTCGGAAAAAAGATGAATCTGATCTGGCAAGAAAAGCTCAGACGCACAATCATGAGTGCTCGCGCAAAGGTGGAAAGTCTCTCGTTAAGGCTAAAACTCGATCTACTCACACTGGTCTTCAGTTCCCAGTGCATAAGGGTAACTACACTGACATCTGCGGTGTTGGAGACACCATCTAATTGGCAGCCGTCCTAGAAAACCTGGCCACTGAAGTGCTTGAATTCGACTGGTAATGCCGCTCGTGACAACTTCAAGACCCGTATCATCCCTCATCATTTTCAATCAGCCATCCGCGACGATAAGGAGTTGAAAAAAATTGCTCGGTGTTATGATAATAACTTAAGGTAACCTATTGATGGTCATTTGAGCTGAAAATACAGAAGGTTGTGATACACCTCGAAGAATTCAAACAACGCCAGTAGCTGAGTCATATAAAGTGATCAGTAGAGACTACAGGTACGCCTTGCTTACTGGTTAGTACCACCAACAAGGCTTCCCGCCTCCAAAACCATCTAAAAAATGCAATTATTCATTGCTTTGAAAACAAATACGGAGTTCTGGATAGTTGTTTCGTCTTTGTCTGAGACACTTCAGAAGTATACACCCATGGCTCCATTAGGGATCAAATCCGAGACCTTTCAAATTACAAGGCCAGTTCGTTGACTATTCAGACACATAGATATAATACAATGACCACTTGACGATGTCTGTCATCACAATCAAACTTGGTGGAGTTCGTTGGTTATGACTCCTCACTAAAACTTAAAACAACTTCATCCTATAGACACGGTCATTAGTGAGTACAAGACTAATTTTCAACGCACACACACCAAATACTCAACTATAATAGCTATAACCCAATGACTCACAAAAGTAACTGTGTGCAGACACTGTTTAAAGGATACAAACACACTGTAACACTCCGGTGGTGAAGAGAATGCAGGGAAAATACCTACTAACCATCTTAAAAAAGAATGGATATCCTCACAATTTCACCAAAAAATTGTTGAAAATCAAGTTGTAATACCGACAAGAAACCATCATCATCAAAGACCACAAGAAAATCCACTCTACTATATCTTTAAAGAATATCTCTGAAATAACGGCTAGGTATCCAACAGAAAAAGAAGTTAAGATTAGCAACGCTTACAAAATAAATTGCGTGAACGGTGACAAATACTACATCAGTCAAACTGGGCATCTCCTTCAAATCAGAATCAAAGGATATAAATGAGTTGTGAAAACGCACGATATGTATTCTTTCATATCGATGCGTGCAGATAATTACGGACACCAATTTCAGTGGGAGAATGTACGGATCCTAAATAGAAGAAACACCTACAATGCAGTCAGGGAATTTCTACAAGCCTGGCTGATACCCAAATGAATCAGCAAGCGATTAAAAAACCCATTACTATAGACAAGAAAGTTCGAATTCCATATCAGTCAATAAAAATAATCAACAGAGATGTAAACTAACAAAGAACAAATCACGACAGAGGTTGTCAGGAGGAGGAGATACAATCAAATCATCATTCATAGAGATTTGAAACAAGTTCATTTCATAGTGGAACCAGAGGTGAATATGTTTTTTGATTTGACACTAGTAACTAGTGTGATGCTTCTAGTCCTCTCTTTGGTGAAGACTGAATTCTATCAGTCAGGTTGTAATGTGGCCACCATTCTAGGTAGCTCGCCATCACGGTGTACATAGTTTGTGATGATATTAGGTGGTTGGAGGCAATCGGCAGGAAGCCTTGGACCTAGGTTTCGTGCTAGTTGGCACTCGTCAGCAAGGCGTATCTGCAACCTTGAAGGAACTCATGTCCCTTCTGAGATTCGAACCCGCGTCACCCAGTGCTGCAGTCACAGACGTTACCACTGAGTGAATATGTTATCTAGAAGGGGATAACGAAAGCTTCAAAATTATATCAACCAGCTCCTTTGGGAACACAACTAAATCAAAATCATCCAACTGAGCTACAATTTTCAATCTCCATTATTTCAAGCATTGGTTTGCAACAATTCGATTGATATTATTATTTGGCAACACTATATAAACATATATATATATATATATAGATTTTGGATGAGTTAAAAAAAAATTACAAAACACGCGAGCGCAGATCTCATGATCCTATTTCCTTGGCTTTGATTTATTTTTTTCTCATCGACCTGATTGATTGATTAATCACAATTAGTGTATATTTTTTGATAAATTTGATTGGTCAGTTTTTCTTCTTTGTTTGGCAATCAATCACCTGAGTTTCGACTTTCGCAATTAATTAATTAATTAACTAACTAACTAACCAACTGCAAAAAGTACATTGCTCAAGAACAACATCATTCAACAGTGTATGTTTGTGACGGGGAGAGATAGAGAGAAATAAAAAATCAAACCGAGCCAACCTAAACCACAAAGCGTGAAACTTTTTAACAAGCATCTTTCAAAAACAATAAAGTTTTGCAACAATTAGTCATACTTTCAATCAAATTGGAAGCATAATAAACAGCTCATATATAAATATTTATATTTGTATGGAGCGGACTACGTCATGCATGGAAAGGAATGAAGCAATACGATCATATATATATATATAGAGAGAGAGAGAGAGAGAGATACAAAGAGTTAGTGAGTGTGGAGCGAAATACGCAACCATAACAATTACTACTACTACTTCATGATTTCACCACGTGTGCAAGTTTAAACTGTGTGATCACAAAGTGTAGTTTATAACGTGTTTTAAAAACTAGTCGTTACGACTTTTGAGCACGATGAGCAGAAATCTCCGAATGTGCGATGCACGCGATTTACTCCTCTCTCAGATGTGAGAAGATGCTACAGTACTGGATTACATCGAAGAAGGGTCAGGTTGGAAAAGAGTTAGTAGTGATCAAACCAAAATATGGCTTCATCAGTCAATGAAATCCACAACAGTTAGTTTAAGCCAGACACTTTCGGGAGCGCAGACTTCCTGGTTGGGGTCCTCGGGACTGTAAGGACCATTTCCTTTTACGTCTCTTGCTTTGTGTGCTAACTGAGTGAAGTAACAGAGAGTGTTGACCACTTTACTTATTTAGGAAGTTGTGTTAGACCCAACGGAGTGATCGCTGACGAAATCTAAGCATAGATACAATAAACTTGTGTGACACTCGTTAAGTTACGTCATCTCTGGAGTAGACATGATATCCACCTGGCTATCAAACAAAGGATATGTGTACTGCTCAGATACTGAATCTGCCCTTCTTTAGGATTGTGATACATGGTCATTGGAAGTGGAAGATACAAAATGGTTATCTGCCTTGGATTTAAGTGTCTGTATTACGAATGCCTAGCTATCGCCTTCCTTGACGGGAAATGAAGAAAAAGCTAAAGGTGGTCAAATCAAACCTTGCAATCAGTCCATGAGATCTTCGATCTGAGTCATGTAGGGAGACCTCCCACTTACAAGAGGAGAGCTCGTAGACCACTAGGAGTCGACCCAATGACCAGCTCATGAATTCCAACTTCTGCCAATTCACGACAGAGCGCGACCACCAGCTGGTGAGTATTTTTCCTCACACCCGACCTGCTGTTCCCCACTGGTCACGATTTCCCACTAGAACCCAAGTAACTACTTACATGAAAATAGAGGTATATTTACAGGATACAAAAAGTTGAGTTTGATATATATATAATTCAATATTAGGCTGTATAAATCGATTACACTGCCAGTAGTACTTGTCCGTAAAGTCGGATAACAGACATGAATTGTATATATTCACAGTATGAACTCTTAGTAGGTGAACATTGACATACAGGCAGAGATACTGATCAACTAATGGTTTCTTTCAACATCAATATACATACATTAAAATACATAAAACAGATTGTATGAATAAAAAAGCAGAAGACAATTGAAAAAGAATCAAAATGCATAAACGCACACACATACATGTGTTATAAATTGTGAGAACAACAACAGCAACAACAACATGAGATGTAGTCAATATCACTTACCATGTCCGTTTGAAATCGATAAGTGAGCATTTTCTTTTTCTCTGGATCTAAATGAGGTGAAAAAGAGACCAACAAACAAATAAGACACAAAATAATTGAGCAAAGAATATCCTTTTCGATAAATTCCTCTTCTGGCTCTACATTTATATATATGTTTATATACATACAATATTCTAGAATAGTAGTCAATATCAATATTATTAATGTTTCCTTTAATTCCTAGAGGAACATAGGAAATTCAGCCGTGCGTCTCCATTGCGTTCGGTTCTCTGCTAGAGTCTTCACCTGGCTCCATGTCTGCCCACACGTTTTCTTATCCTCTTCACATGACCCCCTCCAAGTCACCCTTGCACTGATGACCAACTCGCCGCATCCCTTTCGGGTTCCACTCGAGCGACCGCCTATCGTGTGATGTCACTTGATGGTTTGTTTTCTCAGAGTATGGCCAATCCATCTCCATTTCTTCCTGCCTATTAGTTTCACAATCGGTTCCTGGTTGGTTCGCTCCCAGAGATCCCTCACTGTTGCTGATCTTTTCTGGCCCGCCATCTGATCTTGAGTATTGAGCGAAGACAACTGTTAATGAAGGTCTGTAGTTTGTTTAAAATGCTCTTTATGAAACGCCAAGTCTCTGATCCGAATAGTGAGTAGCACTGACTTCACATTGGAGTTGGAAATCCGGATCTTATTCTTCATGCTGAGTGCTGTTGACCTCCACACAGACTTGAGAGTAGTGAAAGTTTGTCTTGCTTTTCCGATTCTTGCTTTGATATCCTCGTCAGTTCCGTCCGCCTGTAGTTGAAACAATGCTTCCCAGGTAGGTAAAAGAGATTGTTTCTTTCAGGTTCCTCCCATTTATGCTGATTGTTGTCTGTTGTTGTCGTTGCTGTTGGTGGTGTTGGTCATGAATCTTCATCACCTCTGTTTTCCCTATGTTCACCTGAAGTCCTATCTTTGATGCTTCTTCTGTCCCAACTTGTTGCTTTTCGCTTGCATATCTTAGTGTTTTAAATACTATCAATTTGTTAAGTAAGATCAGTGGAATCACAGTTCATTAAAGATGCTTAAATTATAATAATAATAAAGATATATTACAGCGAATAGAATATCAACTAAAATTAGGAAAATTCCACAAAACTGAGGATCATTCAAACCTAGATGGCCAAGGTAAGGATAATGTCTGAACTAACTTCTTTTTTTCTGATGCACAAATTAGGCTTGTTAATATGGATTCCAACAGCCTCAGCAATATTTCGTAGTCAAGCTCTTAAGGCAAAATTGAGATTCGTTGGTATGCAGTAAATGACCTTGAAAGCATGGTTAACATCAATCTTGTGTTCTATATCCACAAGATGAGATAGAATAGCACTGCGAATAGATCTTGCTTGTCCTTTGCTTAACCACTTTGCAGGGTGATGTTCGGAAATTCGACGAGAAACACACCTAATTATACGGCCTATGTAACTGGCTCCACAGGAGCAGTTAAATTGAAATAGGCGATGTCAGGAAAGAGAGGAGAACAAAGTCAGCGAGGGTGGGGTTGGGGAGAGATAAAACAGACAGCTGATTTTATTCAATCGTTTCAGCAGTGTCATCGTTAGGCTTTTTCCATAAAGGTTACTCCATATATAGAAAATGATGACTGACTGACATTCAACATAGAAGCGTACACTGAACTGTACTAGTTGTTGTTCAACTTGCCACCTTCCATACACAGCACATACAGATTATAGAAAGAGAACTATAAAATTAGCAGAAATGTACTAGAGAAGGAAAAGAAACATTGAAAAACATGCGGATTGAATGGATCTAGAAGTTTACGAAGAGTGCATACATCTGAGGCATTGAAAACGATTCTGAACTGTTACTACTAATACTCTCCAGTAATTGGTTCTTAGAATCATGAGAACTCCAGTCTGACAGTCTACCTACCTACCTCTCTACCTACGAACGTGACTGGTTTGAAAAAAGCCCACTGTCCAAGACTCCATCTGCTGATGAAAGGTTTCAGTTTTAGTATCCCTAACGCATTTACAATCTAATCCTATGTGTCAACCAACATTGTTTGATAAAGAAGGTGGTGACTCAGTATACACAACACATCTCTTAGCCATCTCAACCTCATCGATTAACTTCCATTTCTTACTCAAAACTCCACGACTAATCTCAATATTACTCACCACACTAGACCACTTAACGCGGTAGATAGAATGCAAACATCAATGGTAAAAGACAGTTAGTCTCTTCAAGTATTCCACTTTCAATGGCCAGGTCTCATAGCACTAAAGAACAAAGCGGAATCATAGAAAATGACATATGCAAGAATAAAACCATTGATGAGCTCGGTTTGTAACGACAGAAGACAAGGGCCAGGTAACAGATCGTTTATTGAGAAAATCAACAGATATTTATAGATTACTATGTACATTATTGTCAGCGAAGAAGTAACGTCTTCTGATTGGTTGTTTTCTTGCTGAAGGTTATATTCTGTACTGCTTGTGACCGTTTCTTAGAAAGTTAAGCCATATATCTGCGAATCGTATTTGCACACGTTAAGTCTGCTGTGATTGGTTGGTGAGTTCTCCAAGGTTAAGCTTTGTTATTGTTTTTTCTCATGACTCTGATTCGGGACGTGAACATTGACGTAAATTGTTGTCTACAAATTTTGGCTTGCAGACAGCTCTCACCACAATGGTACTGAGCGAGTGAAGCTCCTGTCAGGTGTTTTGATCACTTTTGTTTGCCTGTGTTGTCAAACTACTCATATTGGCTGATTAATCAGTAGTATCAGTAGTGTATCATGCATTGAAACCGAAAAATACTTACCATAAACATCAATTGTGAATATTTCCGATTTTATCGTACAGCATCGTTTAATGTTATGCAGTTTGATAAATTTCTACAATCATAGAATAAATAAAATATAAACAAACATTAGAGGGAAACCCAAAACAAACAATAAACAATAGCATGTGCCATGTGCATGGTCCGGGGTTCGAATGTGATGCATTCAAACTAAAGAACAAGAATCGAATCTTCAACATTAATGTCAAGCGAGTCAATACTTTTATACGGTTGAGAGACTTGATATGCAAATCACGAAAAGCATTTCCAACAGGCTGTTGTAGATTTTCATCAACAGTTACCTTGTCTGACACGATACTGAGGATCAGATGGTCGGACAGAAAAGGGATGAGTAATAAGGCACTCTACCAACCAACCAGCCAACTAACCTATCACCCAACAAACATGGAGAAGAAATACACTGAGGAAACCGTCGATTGATATCACGCGCAAGGTATACCCTCGAGTGGAATCCGAATAAGAAACAAAGAGTTCGGCGTCCTACATTTCACTCAGGACCCAAGGGAATGGTAATCTTAATACCATCGCCAAGTTTAATCTGAAAAGCAGAAAATAATTGGGTCCCATCATATCGAACAAATAGCACTTTTCCAGGTGGTATAGAAGGCAAATATTATTTTGCATAGTTTCCCTTTTTTGAAGAGTAACACTGTGGTTGTCCTTTGTGTTGTAGGCAACCCTTCATTTATCTCATCTGTACTATTTTTGCACGAATGCAATTTATTACGCTGGAAACACGAAAATAGACATATGTTCGCCCATACATTCCATCGCGTCCTCTTTCTCCTTGCCTACTTGAGTGCTATTAGAATATATGGTAACAGCTGTTTCGAGAATTCACAGAAAATCCTCAAGTTTGGTTTATAGGAATTGTGTTTAATTGGTTGGAGGATTTCATAATAAGCTGACATCGGTTAGAGAACCATTGGAAAACCAGTCACAGGGATAATAGGACGGCTGTTCCGTCATCCTAGTTTGGGACTCTCTAGCAGTACGCACTCACCACAGGGTTTTCTCGTTACAAGATGAGCTCGTAGACCATTAAGCCACTGGGACCTGACTCAATGGTCAGCCCATGAATTCCAACCTCTACCAACTCGTGGTTAATTTATTCGTATCTCAAGTCTGCTTAGTCATCCTATTCTTCTTAATCATCACTGTTTTAAAAACTTCCTGATTATGTAAGAACTTGTTGCTAAACCCTACGAATCACTGATGCTGTTTATCATCTATTTTTTAGAATTTTATTGCTCTACGTTGCCAGTGGAACATAGGGCTTCAAGCTAGAGCTTTGAAGTCTGGATAGCAGTGGTTTTCAATTCTCCGGGGTGGCGTGGCTAGTTTTACGCCAAACCTTCCCTCTTTACCGGACTTAGTACTGGCTTGGTGAGGCTTAGGAGTGCGCCGGCCGGAGATTGAACCCCAGACTACATGGGTATTTGGTAAGTGTTCTACCGCTAAACCACCGATACATTGATGATATTTATAATTAGTTATTTTCCCCCCACCTGTATCTTAAAACTAACAATTCTTATTGACTCGCATGATCAACTGACTGGCATTATTTTGATGTGAAAAACTACACATACATTAGTGCAGAGGTTAAAATTATTTCATCATAGAATAATACCAACCTCCAAAAAACAAAACAAACAAAATAACCACACGAAAACTGACCTGTTCATCACCAAATTTAATCACGAATCCATCTGATAGGATACTAATAGTACCCGGTTGATTGTTGTCCACATTGACTGCGTTAATCTCACCATCTAAATCTCCATCTGAATAAAAGGATAAAAAAGCAAACCGTATGAGCACGAAATACTTGGAAACAATTCGACAGTGATTACTAATATTCTTATCATTATTATTATTCCTATTGGGTTCTGAGTGGAACATTTGGCTTTAACAGCACATTGCCATCTCACTGTGTTATCTGCAGTCTTTTTGAGCTAACTTTATAACTGCGCATAGGCTTTAACCTCCTCCACTTCACCCCTGAACCAGCTTCCAACTCGTCCATCTGATGTGTGATGTCGCCCAACTGTCTCTTCAACTTAAACCAAGTCCATATCCATCTCCTGCATATTCATTAGGTTTAATATTGCTGGTTGTTTCATTTCCAAAGTTCTTTGTTGCATATCATTCTTGACCCTCAGTATCCAGCCAGAGAAGAGAACTGCTGATGAAAGTCAGCAGTAGCCTGTTCGAAGTGCTCCCAGTGATGCATTCTTCAAGTCATAGAACTACATGGAAGCAGTGATTTGACATTAGTGTAGGAAATCCCGAATCCTGTTTCATTTTTCCGCTGAATACAGCAGATTTTCACGCGTATTTCAGAGTACTGAAGATCCTGCTTCTGATTCGACATTGGTGTAGAAAATCCCGAATCCTGTTTCATTTTTCTGCTGAATGCAGCAGATTTCCACGCCCATAATGCAGATCCTGCATCTGATATTCTCATCCATTCCATCAGTAGGTGAGACGATACTGACCAGATAAATGGAAGAGCTGACTTCTTTTAGATTTCTTCCGTTGATGGTGATTGGTACTTGTTTTTGCTGTTGGTTAGGTATCTCTATCATTTCTGTCTTTGCTGCTTTTTCTGTTGACTTATTGATTTTTTTTCAATTAGACGATTACACTATACCAAAAATAAGTCATCCGATCGAGAAATCAAATACTACACATCAACGGAGTAACTAATGACAACATGAATAAACACATTCAAATGAACTGTCGTCAAGATTTGACAGAATAGTTCTAAAATATTTGGGCGCCGAGTGAGAAGTAGACATTTGTAAAAAATTATATTTGTAAAATCTCAGCGATATTGAAATGAGTAATTCCAACGTTTCGTTCGGCCATCTGGTTCGAACTTCTTCTGGGAAATTAATCGAAATTAACATAACATAGGTTTACATATAAAAGGAACATCGCTTGTTTTTAAAAACGTTTTCCAATCAACAAGTATAATAAACAAAATTTTATGGGCTGTCGAGTCACCTGACAACTCCAGTAGGTCGAATAAAGCAGCTCAATCTTCAGAAAGAAGACAAAGCAATAAGTCCAACAGGGTGCTTTTACTAAACTCCAATCCTAAACATCATAATTTTGAAAATACGTCTATTCATAAAATACAAAAGATTGAGCGAAGAAATATTTACTTTTCAATTAGATCCTCTTCTCTGGCTCTACTCTAATATATATAGCATTTTTACAATACACAACAATTTACCAAACAAGTGGTGATATGTTTGTTAACAATATTTAAACAGTGCCGAAATGTCAATGGGTAGATAATTAACGCAGAAAATCAATACACATTTAAAAAAGTAGAAATGGATAGAATAAATTAATTTTACAAGAATAACACGTAATTAAAGATGAAGTGGTCAAAATAAAAATAAAAATAAAATAATTTGGACAATTATAATTTAATAGGGGGAGGGGAGCGACGTAGTCCTGTCTTGTAAGGATGGCCACGGTAAGCAAAGTGGCTGTACAAATTTCTTCTGTACACATAGGCTTGGCTTCTTAAGGTGGATTCCGATTGCTTCTGCTGTCTGTAGAAGACGAACTCTTAGAGCAAAGTTGAGATTAGTCGGAATGCGATAAATGATTTTGAATGCAGTATTCACATCAACCTTGTGCTCGGTATCAACAAGGTGTGCTAAAATAGAACTCCGAATAGATTTTGTTTGTCCCTTGCTTAACCACGCTGGATGATGTTCAGAAATACGACGATGAAACTGCCTAATTGTACGCCCAATGTAGCTGGCTCCGCAGCTGCAGTCAAACTGGTATACACACATAGAAGAGGCAAAATTAGGTAGTTTGTCCTTATTTCTCGAACATAGAATAGGGGTGGTTGTGAAGAGACAACGTACTTCTGCTGCATAATAAGCTCTTTTAACTGCATTCTTCAAGCGCTGTGTTATGATCTCACTGATGTTGTCACCGAGGAACTGCAATTTTATGAACATTGGCTTTTTCGAAACTGTAGCAATACTGACTCTCTTTGGTGCTGAATTCATATTCTTCTCAATAAATTTATCTGGATAACCATTTTTTCTAAGTAATTCTTTAATAATCTTAAGCTCCTCATTGAGGCAGTCGTCTGAACAAATTAACTTAGCTCTATGAACCAAACACTTTACCAGGTTACGTTTATATTTCAAAGGTACAAAACTCAAAAAATGAGTGTACTGACCTGTTGTTGTAGGTTTCCTATACACACTCCTTCTTAGTGTGCCATCATCTTTCCTTGCCATGAAAACGTCTAGGAATGAGATACTGTCATTACTTTCTTTCTCCATGGTAAAGTTTATTGCTGAATGTGCATCATTAAACTTGTCGAGGATATTCATTGCATCATTCTCATCTTTCATAACCACAAATGTATCATCCATATATCGACAGTAGAAATCCATGTCATTAATTACTCCTTTCAGTGGTCCATTCTCTAATTTAGCGAGGAAAAAATCAGCTAGGATTGGACCTAATGGGGAACCCATAGCTACACCATCAATTTGCCTGTAATATTCCTTATTGAATAAGAAATGAACATTCATTGTACATCTTAAAATAAGTTCCTTCAAGGTGGATATAGAAATCCCAATGTCTATGTTTCGTGTAGTAATCTCCTCACATATAAAATCCACTGTCTCCATTAACGGTACATTGGTGAACAAGGAGGATACATCAAAAGATATCATAAACTTGTCCCTCACATTAAGATCTCTTATTTTGTCAACAAATTCAAAACTGCCATTTACGCTATGTTTTACCAATTCATTATGCAGAGGCTTTAGCAGCTTCACTAGCCATTTTGCTGTTGCATGATATGGGGAATTACACATGTCCAACACTGGTCGAAGCGGCAAACCGATTTTGTGCACTTTTGGCAGTCCGTATAATCTTGGTGTAACCGTGCCAGTAGGCTTTAAAGATTCATATAAACCATCTATGATACTACTTTGTTGTTTAAGTCTTTTTAGTGATTCAATTAGTTGTTTCTCCACTTTTTCTGTCGGATCGACGGAAGATGTAATTTTTTGAAATTTTCGATGATCACTGAGTATTTCATTCATCATATCTACGTATTCAGTTTTATTCATTATTACTACTCCAGAGCCTTTATCAGGCTTCGAAATTATTATATTCTCATTATTTCGCAGCTTATCTAGGGCTTCCCTGTGTTTCTTAGTCAATAAGCTATTTAGTTTCCGTTTACTATTTATATATTTATAACAACAGTCCACTAGAGTTGATTTAAGACTTTCAACTGCCTCAGCTGACGAGGGTGTTAAGCCTTCAGTTTGAGCAAAGAAGTTTTCGAACTGAACTTATTGACTAAGAAACACAGGGAAGCCCTAGATAAGCTGCGAAATAATGAGAATATAATAATTTCGAAGCCTGATAAAGGCTCTGGAGTAGTAATAATGAATAAAACTGAATACGTAGATATGATGAATGAAATACTCAGTGATCATCGAAAATTTCAAAAAATTACATCTTCCGTCGATCCGACAGAAAAAGTGGAGAAACAACTAATTGAATCACTAAAAAGACTTAAACAACAAAGTAGTATCATAGATGGTTTATATGAATCTTTAAAGCCTACTGGCACGGTTACACCAAGATTATACGGACTGCCAAAAGTGCACAAAATCGGTTTGCCGCTTCGACTAGTTTTGGACATGTGTAATTCCCCATATCATGCAACAGCAAAATGGCTAGTGAAGCTGCTAAAGCCTCTGCATAATGAATTGGTAAAACATAGCGTAAATGGCAGTTTTGAATTTGTTGACAAAATAAGAGATCTTAATGTGAGGGACAAGTTTATGATATCTTTTGATGTATCCTCCTTGTTCACCAATGTACCGTTAATGGAGACAGTGGATTTTATATGTGAGGAGATTACTACACGAAACATAGACATTGGGATTTCTATATCCACCTTGAAGGAACTTATTTTAAGATGTACAATGAATGTTCATTTCTTATTCAATAAGGAATATTACAGGCAAATTGATGGTGTAGCTATGGGTTCCCCATTAGGTCCAATCCTAGCTGATTTTTTCCTCGCTAAATTAGAGAATGGACCACTGAAAGGAGTAATTAATGACATGGATTTCTACTGTCGATATATGGATGATACATTTGTGGTTATGAAAGATGAGAATGATGCAATGAATATCCTCGACAAGTTTAATGATGCACATTCAGCAATAAACTTTACCATGGAGAAAGAAAGTAATGACAGTATCTCATTCCTAGACGTTTTCATGGCAAGGAAAGATGATGGCACACTAAGAAGGAGTGTGTATAGGAAACCTACAACAACAGGTCAGTACACTCATTTTTTGAGTTTTGTACCTTTGAAATATAAACGTAACCTGGTAAAGTGTTTGGTTCATAGAGCTAAGTTAATTTGTTCAGACGACTGCCTCAATGAGGAGCTTAAGATTATTAAAGAATTACTTAGAAAAAATGGTTATCCAGATAAATTTATTGAGAAGAATATGAATTCAGCACCAAAGAGAGTCAGTATTGCTACAGTTTCGAAAAAGCCAATGTTCATAAAATTGCAGTTCCTCGGTGACAACATCAGTGAGATCATAACACAGCGCTTGAAGAATGCAGTTAAAAGAGCTTATTATGCAGCAGAAGTACGTTGTCTCTTCACAACCACCCCTATTCTATGTTCGAGAAATAAGGACAAACTACCTAATTTTGCCTCTTCTATGTGTGTATACCAGTTTGACTGCAGCTGCGG